GGCTTTCTCAAGAGCTAAAGTTTGAACTTTCGTTGCAGCCTCGGCCTGATCCTCCAGTTTTTTCATTTTTGCTTCAAGGGCCCTTATCTCTCTTTTCATTGAAGATGCTTCCCTATTCATATCAACCAATCTTTGACGATTTTCAAAGGATTGCATTGAAAATGAATGGGCATGTTGGATAGCCTGAATGAAAAACAGAAGTGTCAAAAAATTTTCTCAGAAAGAAACAGAAAAGAAAATCACAAGTACAAACAGAAATACTCACTTGAGCGGAGTGTTGGAGCATAAGAGCGTAATTTTCATACTCACTAAGCTTGCCATTTCGCTCCAAGTCATTTGGTAGAAGAAGAACAGTGCTAAGGGCGACAGCAACATTAATGTCGTCAGCACTTTCACTAGCCATGATGGGTCTATCCTCCAGGGATAGATCAGGGGCCCAGGGGACGTCGGGCTTCTTCGAAGCCGAGGTCGTCGCAGACGATGACCTTGGCCGCTTTGATTGAGTAGACCCTGAGGGTTGGCCCTCAGCAGACCTCTTTGTTGAAGTAGAGGCTGATTTTTTGCTTTCAGCTAGCTTCGAGATCGGCAGAGCATCCTCAGCCTCGGCATCTGTAGCCTTGGCCTTAGGCTGAGCCTTTTTAACTCTCTTTGGTTTGGGTGGGAGCATAGATTGCGCTGGTGCGGCTTCGGCGTCAGTTGGGAGATCGGCAAGAAGGTCTTGGACAACAGGCCTGGGACGAACCATTTCGGCAGTCTTTACAAGCTTTCTTCGACGTTTACGTTCAGAAATTGGTATTAAGTAGGGGGCCGAGGTTGATGGAAGATCGGCTGGGTCAGATGTGGACTCTTGATCAGTTCGGGATGTAGAAGCAGTTAAGGTTGTGGCTGTGGGTGGAGAGAGACTCTTCTTCCTTTTTCTTGGGACGTCGGGTAAGGTGGATTTGTATGTGGGGATGAAGTTTAGTAATACTGGGGCTTTTCGTTTATGGATCGGAAGGCCAAGAAGTGTTTTCAGATCTGTTCCCGGGATTAAGGATTGACGAAAATTTTTCGGTGGCTGATGAAGATCTGCAAAGAAACAGACGTCAGAAACAAAAAGTATTTAAATCTTAAGTAAAAACAACTAAGTGTTGACTCAGGGCTCTTACTCTTGCCCTCTGTGATTGTTCGAGGAAGAGGGTAGAGGTGGACATCTTCATCTGGGCCAAATTCCCAATTTCCAGACGCAATGAGAAAATCATCTCCAGCCCCCTTGTTGGAGTCTAGGAGGTCGGCTATAATTTTGTACTGAGTGGATCTCGGCTTAAGATAATAGACAAAACCCCTATCCTTCAGATCAAGAGGGCACATGGTATAACAATATTGAAGGTCAGCTAGGGTGATTCTAAGGTTTTCTTGCCTAGCTAAGGCAATAATACCGTTAATTACCCTATAGGAATTGATAGTAAGTTGCATGGGGTTTAGCTTATAGAAATGGAGAACTTGACGAAAAAGGGGATCAAGTGGAAGTCGAAGTCCACATTCGGTAAAAGCAACTATTGGAAAAGGCATTGTATGATCTGTGGGCCTGATGGTATCACTGTCCCCCGCCAGTTTAAGATGAACATCGGCTGGGATAGAGAATTCTTGCCTAAAGTATTCAAGTTTCGTTGGGGTATTTACCCTATGCCTCCACATACCCATTATGTCGGCTTAAACTAAGAGGAATATGTTTCAGGAAATGGGCGTTTTTCAGGTTTCCCTAAAGACTAAGGGTTCTACAGACAAATCCCAAATCTATGAAATATGAAGGTAAAAATCGAGGGCACAAATCTGGGGCAGATACAAAAAAGAGAAAGCAAAGACGAAGTTTCAGATTCAAGAATGGAAGTATAGTTCTCAGAAACAATAGAGATACAGAAACAAATCAAGAACAGCGGTAAAGAGAATAATGAAAAAGCATAGAAGTCCAAGGTATAGCCACAAATTCAAGAGACAAATAAATCCCAGACCTCGAACAAAATCAGTAATGGCAGTAGACAGACAAAAGCACATAAAAAGAATGAAAGAATTAAAGAAAAGGATCTTACCAGGACAAATGAAGCCAAGGAGGCAGTGCTCGCGAACCCAGAAATTGATTGCAACAGCAAAGAGGGCTTTTTCCAGAAGAAAGATTGAAAGGAATGGAGATTCGAAGAAGAATGAGCTTTCAGAGAGAGAAAGAGCAAGAAGACGGAATGAAAGTGAAAGAAAGATAGAGGCAAAAGAAAGTTTTGTCAAAAAATTGAAACGGCGGCAAAATTAGGGCAATCATTACGCCTAGGTAACGCACGCGTCAGACGGCGCAGACGAAAGAACAGACAGCTTCAGGCGCGTCACTGACACGCTCCAATAAAGACGAAACACGTAAAAGAAACAGTTAGATATGCATGACACTCATGCGCGTGGGAGAGTACGACCGAAGCCTTGTTCTCCGAAGAGAACACTCGGCTGAAAGTAGATAATCTTGGCAAATAGTTTTTGAGCCATTACTCAGAAAAGAAGCAAAAATTTCGGAATAGGTTCCATCACCTCAGAATGCCGAGGTAATAAAACCTAGGGGGCAGTTGTGGGGATATATTTTCTGAATACCACACGTGGCATGGTGACGCGACGTGTCAGCCGAGGTGCACGTGCCCTGGTAGTTAAGCGAGGTAATCTCGGAGAAGCCGAGGTCTCTCCGAAGATATCGAGTCCGAGATAAGGGGCAAGAGTCCTAAGGCAAAAGGGGACTGAACAAGATAAGGATAAAACTCTTAGGGAGTTTATCTTTATCTCTAAAAGAGTCCAGAGAAAACAGAGATTAGAGTTCATAGAAGTCATACTAGTGGGACTTGGATTGAGTATATTATAAAAGAGAGGCACCCCCGTGGGTCTAAGGTATGTAATTTATACTTTGAGTATTCAGTTTAGTACTTGATTATCTTTGAGAGATATACTGACTTGATCGTCGGAGTGCCCCCGGGTGGAAGAACCACCGCCGGAGCTTTTCTTTCTGTTTCAGGTTGCTTAAGCCATCTATTCTGCTTGTGTTCTCCAGCTGATCACTAAACGGGCAGTGTGGTCAGATTTTCACCCACACACAAGCAGACAACTTATTTTGACAAAGTTTACCTTGTTCATTTTGGCCGTTGCCTTCTACCTGTGCTTCTATTGAACTCACTTCCTTGTTGATGGCTTCAAGATCTTCAAGCCACATCTTCACTGCTGGTGCAGCAGCTACCTGGCCCCTTCTCTTCTCAGCTTCCTCGATCTGTTCTTTCACGGCGTTTCCAAGATTTGTTAGCTTTCCCATTTCCTTGTTGAGTTTTTGGAGGTTGGATCGGAATCTGATCCTACTCTTCATCTTGGGATAGATAGCACCTAAAAGTTTACCAAACTGCAGCAAGCCCTCCGGCCAAAGAAGCCAACAACGCCAACAACGCCGTTTATTGATCGCGTTTCACAAACCCTCAGGCTTTCAGGTATCGTAGATTTGATTTTGGGAAATGATTCAGACCCCAGCACTTTTGTGACAGAGGGGAGGAGAGAGAGTGGATAAGAACGAAAAATAAATAAATAAATAAAATATATACAATGTGTTGTCACAGATCAATGTTGTCACAAATCAATTAGATTGTGGAGTGTGGAGTTCAAAAATATTGCGACTCTCAACTATTTTCCTCTGATTTTGAAAGGAATTTTCTGGGTTTCTCACTCAGCCAATTCCATTTCAGCTACTTTTTCTACGCGGTATGGTGTGTAGCTGGTGGTGGGCCATGTCATTTCGCGTATGACATGACAAATGACAAGGAAGAGTTCATTCATGGCTAATTTTGTAGCGTATGAAAACGACCTCATTTTTAATGAATAGAAAAAAAAAATAAATTATTATTTATGCAGTGAAAAGGAAAGAAAGATGCTCTCGCATCTCTTCTCTTTTTTTTTTTATTGCATAATATTTTTTATAAACACCAAAACGATGTGGGATTATTTTAAAAAGATAATTATAATCAGTTTTTGATTAAAAATTACTTATAAATTATTTTTTTTATGAGAAAAGAAATAAATTATAATCTAAAGAATGAATTATAAAGGCACCTTTTTAGAGGCCGTCGTTTTAATACACTACCCACTGCCTACACGGTACACCTATGCACTACAAAAGTTATGGACTCAACAAGGAAATTCTTTCCTTTTTTTTAATAATTTTTTAAAATATGCAATACACCCCTATTTGTGCGAAGTTGATTTTTAGGCCAAAAGTTT